TAGAGATTCTGAAGGGTTGCCTTCGGCCTGGAAATACTTTATCAAACGATTGGACAAATCTTAATTTATTGCGGCGATTTTAATATTTTTTCGCATAAAGTGCATTTCACTGAATTTCTATATAACGTTTTAATATTTAGTTAACCTATGCTTATTTTTTCGTATACATTTTTTGTTATTTGTAACAATAATTTTTATTTATTTTATTAGTCTGTATACATTTATATATATATTTCGCTCGTTATTTTATTTTATTTGTATTTAAATTTTTGTTCTATTTTATTTATATTCGAATGTTCTTAGCCTGACGATGGCCAACTGATTTGGCTGAAAACGTTAGCTTTACATTAAAATTTTTTTTTTTTTTTTTTTAGTTTTGTGTTGCTTTTCATTTGCCTTTTTGCAATTCATGATTAATAAAAATAATAACATTTTACTTAAAATTTAAAACCAGGAGAAATTTAACAAAGTTATAAACCGTGGCACCTCAAACGTCTAGTCTGGTCTAGTACACCGATAGTGCTACTTGTTTATAGATGGCTTGTATAATTGAATTAAGTTGTATACCAAACAAAAGGTGTATACCAAGCAAAATTTGTTTTGTCCAAACAGGACGTATTCTAAAGCAGACATATACCGAAGTACCACTGTATTTGATATTATTTGCTAATCAAAATATAAATTAAAATTTTTTCATCAAAAGTGGATTCACTTGTACCAATTAATACATTTCACTTGCCTTTTCTAGACAATAAAACAATAATCTGTTTCTTTTTTTTAATAGCAATATACTAATTTTCAATTTACTTTTTATTTTTTTCCATTTTTGTTATATGTTTTAAATGATTATTTAGGTTGTAATATTAAAGCTAGTTGCAATAAATTAAATAATAAGTTGTAATATCAAGTGGTGATAAATCATTATTTCTTATAGAAAGCTGAGTTAACCTGTCTGACCCATAAAAAGAAACAGTATAAAAAGCAAAAGGTATGTAATCCATTGTTTAACAATGATTTTAATGTTATTATTATTATTATACAGGTTTCTTCAAAAAAATGTTAACACTAATATGAAAATAATTTGTTATGCCAGATTTGTAGTGGTAGGCAGGGCTATGGTTAGAGCAATTGGCACCAGGGACAAACTTAAATATGGCACCTTTTGAATAAGTCTTTTATTAGTTTTTTAGATTTAAAAATCATTTAAAGAAAACACTTTTTATTAATATAATGCATATCATATTTCAAAATATACTTGTATGTAGAGTTATTTTAAGAATTTATTAGTTTATCCATGTAACAATTTTGGAATTTTGGCACCCCATTATCTTGGCTCCCTGGACATATGCTCCTCTGCCTTTTCAGAGTTCTACTGGCAGGTTGTTTACATACTTCTTCATGTGCAAGTCACAACCCATTTCTGAAATTCTCAGAAATATGACTTTACTTTTACTGCTGGAGTGATTGCACATCTTCTCCTAAATGAAGAGGGTGTACAATCAATTTCTAGTGTTAACATTACCACCTTGTATAATTAAAAACATGAATAAGTGTTAAAATTAAGTAACTTCAATTCTTAATAATTGACTTAAGCTTTAATTTAAAAATGAAGAATCTTTTACTGATAAAGTACTTTTAAGTTACATTAAAAAGTATGTTTTTATTCATTTCAAAAATTTTATTAAATTTTATTTGTTTATTTTGATAGACTGCCCTTGCTTGGATTGGAAAACCAATAAAAATAAAACAAACTAAAAAATTTTATTCATCTGTTAAAATTAATGACGAAATTGTATGTTGTTTATTGTATTGATTTTTCTTTATTTTATTGAAATTATGTTAATAAAGAAATAATTTTATTAATAAATTAAAATTTTAGGTTAATTGTGGTGATTGTGTACTTGTTGCACCTGTAGATCCAACAATTCCATTATATGTTGCTCGTGTTGTATATATGTGGGAAAATGGAAATGGTGATATGATGTTTCATGCTCATTGGTTTTGGTAAGAATTATCTTTATTTTATTGACAATGATTAAATGGTTATGTTAATTTGTCTATTGTTTATTTAGCCGAGGCTCAGATACAGTTTTGGGTGAAACTTCCGATCCCTTGGAAGTATTTGTTATATGTGAATGTGATGATTCTCATTTATCTTCAGTAGTGAGCAAATGCAAGGTATTAACTTTACTGAATAGGAATATCTATTATAAATGTTAAAAAGAAATTATGCTTTAATCAGATGTTATTCAAATGCATTTAAAGCTGTAATTGCTTAAATTGTTTCATTAACTGTGTTATGATGCAACAAGTGTTCTGTGTTTTTGTTAATTCACTATTGTTTTTAATTACACAAATTATTTTTTTTGTGTAATTTACATGTATGTAATGCCTGTTATTTTACATTTAATTTTTATTAGATTCTAGGCATTAATTTTTTTTCCATGTAAAAGATTGACTATTTGAAATCCATTGGCAATTATCTTCATTATGAAATTATCATGTCTATGATGAAAATTAGTCCTTTTAGTAATTACTTTTTTCTAGTAATTATTAGTTACTAATTAATTTTTAAAATTCTATTAGTTCTATTTTATTTTTTTAGTTTAAATGAGACAATTTTATAAGAAACAATTCTTTTGATATTTTACTGTTATGAGCATATATTACTTGCACTGTTGTGTTCAGATATGCAAAATGGATACTATTAGTTGAAAAATGGTAAACTGTACCATTTGCACTATCACCATTGGTAGAATGTAGAGGAAAGAACATGGTGTTACATTTCAAAGAAGCTCAACAGGTAACTGGAGTATAATTGTAGAGCAGGGTCTCCAACCTTTCTTTGAGAAGGATTATGTGAGCTATAAATGATAAGTCTGGGATTCCAGATATGAAAGGCTATGGTATTAATAAACAACTCAGATCATCCAATTAGTTCTTGGGCATTCTATTAATATACTTCTCATTGCATCATCATATTTAAAAATTTCCAATTCTATATTTTTGCCTTATTCAACTGTCTAATAACTTTGTTTTCATTTTTTAGAGAATTATTAGACAGTTGAATTACTTTATGACAACATTAATTCTACTAAAAATCAAATAATTCTGTAAATATGAAAGCATTAAAATTACAAATAAAAAATATATCTAGCATTTTACCGTTTAAAAGTATTCTGTTATTATGGAACAATTTCTAAATTCTAAATACTACTATTAAAATACAGTGGAACCTCGGTATACGACCTTAATTCATTCCTGATGTTTGGACTTATATCAAATAGGACGTATACCAAACCAACCTTTCCCATAAGAAGTAATGTAAAAATGATTAATCCATTTTCATGTAAAAAAAAAGTGGCTGGCTTTAAACACCTCATTTTCCTGGCTAGTTCTTGCTTGATTTTTCATGAGATCAGCATGTGTCTTTTTAGCTTTCTCACAAATAATTGCTTCTGATACGATGTCGCCAGCACACTGTTTTTCAGTTATCCAAAGCAAAAGCAATTTCTCAACATGATCTAATCTCTTTAATCTCTGTTTAGAAATTGATTTAACTCCTTTTGCAACATTAGCAGATTTAATAATGTCTTTATTTTTCACAATTGTCAATATTGTCGTTCTCGGAATACAGTATGCAACAGTTAAATCTCGAACATGCATACCACCTTCATATTTCTCAACAATCTCTTTTTTCAGGTCCATTGTGATTCTAGTCATTTTTTTTTTTTTTTTTTTAGTTTTGTGTTGCTTTTCATTTGCCTTTTTGCAATTCATGATTAATAAAAATAATAACATTTTACTTAAAATTTAAAACCAGGAGAAATTTAACAAAGTTATAAACCGTGGCACCTCAAACGTCTAGTCTGGTCTAGTACACCGATAGTGCTACTTGTTTATAGATGGCTTGTATAATTGAATTAAGTTGTATACCAAACAAAAGGTGTATACCAAGCAAAATTTGTTTTGTCCAAACAGGACGTATTCTAAAGCAGACATATACCGAAGTACCACTGTATTTGATATTATTTGCTAATCAAAATATAAATTAAAATTTTTTCATCAAAAGTGGATTCACTTGTACCAATTAATACATTTCACTTGCCTTTTCTAGACAATAAAACAATAATCTGTTTCTTTTTTTTAATAGCAATATACTAATTTTCAATTTACTTTTTATTTTTTTCCATTTTTGTTATATGTTTTAAATGATTATTTAGGTTGTAATATTAAAGCTAGTTGCAATAAATTAAATAATAAGTTGTAATATCAAGTGGTGATAAATCATTATTTCTTATAGAAAGCTGAGTTAACCTGTCTGACCCATAAAAAGAAACAGTATAAAAAGCAAAAGGTATGTAATCCATTGTTTAACAATGATTTTAATGTTATTATTATTATTATACAGGTTTCTTCAAAAAAATGTTAACACTAATATGAAAATAATTTGTTATGCCAGATTTGTAGTGGTAGGCAGGGCTATGGTTAGAGCAATTGGCACCAGGGACAAACTTAAATATGGCACCTTTTGAATAAGTCTTTTATTAGTTTTTTAGATTTAAAAATCATTTAAAGAAAACACTTTTTATTAATATAATGCATATCATATTTCAAAATATACTTGTATGTAGAGTTATTTTAAGAATTTATTAGTTTATCCATGTAACAATTTTGGAATTTTGGCACCCCATTATCTTGGCTCCCTGGACATATGCTCCTCTGCCTTTTCAGAGTTCTACTGGCAGGTTGTTTACATACTTCTTCATGTGCAAGTCACAACCCATTTCTGAAATTCTCAGAAATATGACTTTACTTTTACTGCTGGAGTGATTGCACATCTTCTCCTAAATGAAGAGGGTGTACAATCAATTTCTAGTGTTAACATTACCACCTTGTATAATTAAAAACATGAATAAGTGTTAAAATTAAGTAACTTCAATTCTTAATAATTGACTTAAGCTTTAATTTAAAAATGAAGAATCTTTTACTGATAAAGTACTTTTAAGTTACATTAAAAAGTATGTTTTTATTCATTTCAAAAATTTTATTAAATTTTATTTGTTTATTTTGATAGACTGCCCTTGCTTGGATTGGAAAACCAATAAAAATAAAACAAACTAAAAAATTTTATTCATCTGTTAAAATTAATGACGAAATTGTATGTTGTTTATTGTATTGATTTTTCTTTATTTTATTGAAATTATGTTAATAAAGAAATAATTTTATTAATAAATTAAAATTTTAGGTTAATTGTGGTGATTGTGTACTTGTTGCACCTGTAGATCCAACAATTCCATTATATGTTGCTCGTGTTGTATATATGTGGGAAAATGGAAATGGTGATATGATGTTTCATGCTCATTGGTTTTGGTAAGAATTATCTTTATTTTATTGACAATGATTAAATGGTTATGTTAATTTGTCTATTGTTTATTTAGCCGAGGCTCAGATACAGTTTTGGGTGAAACTTCCGATCCCTTGGAAGTATTTGTTATATGTGAATGTGATGATTCTCATTTATCTTCAGTAGTGAGCAAATGCAAGGTATTAACTTTACTGAATAGGAATATCTATTATAAATGTTAAAAAGAAATTATGCTTTAATCAGATGTTATTCAAATGCATTTAAAGCTGTAATTGCTTAAATTGTTTCATTAACTGTGTTATGATGCAACAAGTGTTCTGTGTTTTTGTTAATTCACTATTGTTTTTAATTACACAAATTATTTTTTTTGTGTAATTTACATGTATGTAATGCCTGTTATTTTACATTTAATTTTTATTAGATTCTAGGCATTAATTTTTTTTCCATGTAAAAGATTGACTATTTGAAATCCATTGGCAATTATCTTCATTATGAAATTATCATGTCTATGATGAAAATTAGTCCTTTTAGTAATTACTTTTTTCTAGTAATTATTAGTTACTAATTAATTTTTAAAATTCTATTAGTTCTATTTTATTTTTTTAGTTTAAATGAGACAATTTTATAAGAAACAATTCTTTTGATATTTTACTGTTATGAGCATATATTACTTGCACTGTTGTGTTCAGATATGCAAAATGGATACTATTAGTTGAAAAATGGTAAACTGTACCATTTGCACTATCACCATTGGTAGAATGTAGAGGAAAGAACATGGTGTTACATTTCAAAGAAGCTCAACAGGTAACTGGAGTATAATTGTAGAGCAGGGTCTCCAACCTTTCTTTGAGAAGGATTATGTGAGCTATAAATGATAAGTCTGGGATTCCAGATATGAAAGATATACTTAAAGATTAAGATTTTTTATTTCTGAATAATAGATATAAATCAATGTGAAATTTGCAACTGCTTTTTTGAAAGAATGTCATCAAAAATAACTTGACCTGACCTAACCTAACCTAGGGGATAAATTTTGTGGAACCCAATATAAAAGTTTCTTTTAGATAGTCATTGAAGAGTGATGTTTGATATTTTGATTTTATATATTTCAGTTATAAAAAGGTTTGTTCACAAAGGTATATAGAAGTAAAAATAGAAAGTATTCTCTGTGCAGACTTTTTAATACTTTAAAAAAAATTCTTTTCTTCCATTGATTTGTAAAAATTTAACAAAATCCCTTCTTTAAATAGCTTTTTATAAAAATCATTTGCATCACAGTCTATCAATTATAGCTGACTTTTCAAAATTTTGTGTTTGAACTTGTTCAAATAATGATAAAATATGTCGATGAAAACAAGCTATGAAGACTGGATAAATATCCTTCAGGAATCATAATTGGCCTATATGCTGTAGATGGAAACATCTAGTGTAGAGAATCATGCACTGGCTTAATTAGTATTTTTAATTACAAGGTATGTGAACAAGGTTTCAATATTTTGATTTTGATTGAAAATAACTCCTCAATGGACTGGCCAGTTATAATCAACTTGTTGGCTTCTTAGACATGTTTAACAAATACATAAATGCATGTGTTAAAACATTATATTTTTAGTTATAGTTATTAATCTTAAGATAGTTTGCAATAAATATTCATTATTCTGATTTTAATGCAGAGAAAAATTATTATTACATTTAGGTAATTTATAAAATGCCTGATAAAAACTGGTTTTTAAATGGTGGAAATGAAGAAATAAATACTGATTTATGTAATAGTGAAGATGAGAAAACATTCTTTTATCAAAAATGGTATAAAATTTTGAAAATTTTTTATAACTTTGTAGTAATTTATCATGAATAATTTTAATAAAAGTTAATAACTTTTTTAGGTATGATTCACAGACAAGTAGATTTATTGATCCTCCTGATCTTGAAGTGTATAAGAATGATGATGTTATTCAATCATGCATTAGCTGCAATAAATTACAAGAATGGCATGAGGTATATCTTTCTTAATGCAATAATTACTTTATTTTATGATAGAAAATTTTAAAAAATTAATAATAATATACAACATATATTATGTTATGAAATAGGTTTAATTTGTTAATCAGTTTATTGATGATTAATTAAAGGTATATGACAGGTGTGGCAAACATATGGCACTCATGCCGAAAGTGGCACATAACAAAAAATCATCTACCATGTAACATATTATACAATTTCTGTTTATCATTTTTCAACCAGTTTTTTTACATTTATTCTAATTAAAGCATATTCATTTAATTTCTTTAAATATCATTATTTGAAGTCTAAAACTTTGGCACACATATACATCTTTAAAGCTAAGTATTCTTACTATATGGCACACAAGCTCAAAAAGGTTTGCCATCACTGGTATATGACATTTATGTACAATATATTACACTTGTATAAAGCTGGATTTCAACTCATAAGTGGAATAAAGCACTTTAATCAGTATACTGATTTAGTTGTTATTTTGGAAATTTTTTAATCTTATGAAAACTGATTTAGATAATGAATTATAATATAAATAAATACTTTGCAAGAAAGAATAATAAAGTTGATAATTTATTAAAATTGAAATTACTCATTTAGTATCATTAAATTTTTTAAGTGCTTAATCTAGTAAATTTTTTTTTTGCATATAAATATTAGGCATTCTTGCAAAAGTAATTTGAGATATTTTATTAATTTCTGATAATTATAATATATGTTATCTTTTAATTTTTTATATAATTTAAAGATAATATATGTTATCTTTAAATTATATTATGCAACTTTTGTTTTCTATATTTTAATGGTAACACTACCCAACAAAAAATTTCTTTTTACACTTCCAGCATTAAAATTGTGATTTCCATAAAAAAATCTTCCTGATTTCAAAAATCGTCATCAAATTTTTCTATCATGCAAGGATCAAAAGAGATAGACAAATCTTTGTATAATGATACATATATAGATTAGCATTTGAATATAGCACATGTACCTGTAAAAATCATTTTTACAGGATTTTGTTTTGTTATTTATGCCATTTTGAACATTGGTAGATATATCAGAATGGAAATCCACATTTTTACATGAAATCTGGACCATGTTTTAATCCTGCATGATATCAAAAGCCTTGCACTATAAGCAACTGTTCTACAAGCTGAATTTGATTTTTACTCATATTAATATTAATATTAATATATATATATATATACACCTAAGCTTTATAACAATCAGTAAAATTAACAAAATAAAAAATGTATTACTAGTATTTTTTGTTGTTAACAAATCAGTGATTCTTACTTTAGCCAACTAAACTAACTACACCTGGCATTTCAATTAGCAAAAATTACTGTAGTTTATCCAATTATGGTTGCTGTAGATTCTTACTAAATTCTGAAGATAAATTTAATTTATCAAGTGTGAATAAAATTTATTCAAATGTCATCTGTCACAAGGATTTCAACAAATTTTTCCCAAATTTAACAGTGAAGTTCAGATCTAGTTTTGGAATGCAGAGTATCAGTTTCAAATTTCAACTGCTTGTTTTACTTCACTGAAAGTGCTTCATTGGTATTTCTGATATTGGTGGTGTTACATCATGCATCTCATGTTGGTAAATGCACAGATACCTGATATAGTAAGGATTTTAATATCTGAAAATGGCGACATGATGTGACATTTTCTTGCTGATTTTTTAAATGTATGCATCAAAATTAATAAGAAGCCATGTTTATTTCCCCAGAGGTAAAAATCATGTTGTGTAGTGTAATTAATTATATGTTCACTAGTAACTGTGGCTGATTGATATTGAGGATTATCATAAAAGATGGACTAGAAAGTTTATGTATTACAGTGAAACCTTGATCCATCATTCTCAGCATAATGATTTTTCAGAAATGTTCAGTTTTTATAATCTCTGAAAAAATCATATTTAAACAATGAATTTATTAGTCAAAAGTTTCAGTTTTGAAAAATGTTAATCCCAGACTGATTGTTTTAAAGAAAAGGCAACATCACATACACAAATATTAGTATATATAAGTAGTAATAACAGCAGTTAATATTTTTGGAGCCTTGTGTAGCAATTATAGTTTAGACTGTGTAATCTTACACACCATCATGACTGTTAGGTATGATAGTGTGTAAGACGGTGTCTATCAGATGGTTATGATGATGATGATGATGATGATGATGAAGCTGAGCTTCAACTAATATAAAGTTTTACCAAAGCATTTTATGCATTTGAGCCTTATGAGAGTTTTTTGTATGCTCACAACATTATCAAAAGAGATTAAGCAAAGCAAACATTAAAAGTTTATTTGTTTAGTTTGAAAAGTAAAAGCACTACTAAACAAATGATGATTTATAACTTTTTAAAAAGAAGTAATGCAGATTGAACTTGACAATGGGAAAAAAAACATTGGTGTATGTTTTTTGATTGAGCAGATATAAACAGATAATACAGGCATCTGTCACCTTCCCAAATTCAGGTTTTTAGGTTTCTTGAAGAAAATTATGAATTCAGTTTCCACCATATTTCTAAATAACTAATATTTGGTTTTAGTACAGCCTCCTCTCAAATATACATATAAACTTTTTATTTCTTTTTTAATTATTAATTTTAAAATTTTATTTTTATTTTCTTATGAATTCTTCTATTAAATTATATTTATGAATATTTAGATTAAAAAATTAATTTAATGTTATGACATTTAAGACCTCAAAGAAACTTTTATCAATAATTTCCTTTGTGTCTTAATAACTTTTTTTTACCTTCTTACATACATTGCCTTGTTTATAAAATTTATATGATTATGTTTTGTTTTGAGTAGATAAATATCCAGCAAGTGGGTGAATTAATAGAAAAAACTGATGAAAAAGCTTATTATCAATCAGCAAAATGGAATGGCCAAGAATATTTCATTGGTGATTGTGTGTATCTTTCACCAGAAGCATTTAGTTTTTCCAAAATGACTATAACTTCTCCTAAAAAACAACAGAATAAAAAAGATTCTGTAAGTAGACTTTTATCATAAATTTACTTTAATTAAAGCAATTTTTTGAATATAAATGTATCAATATACTAAAAAAAAAAATTCATATCTAATTGAAACAGATTTAATGCAGCTTAAATTATGCTAATTTTTTTTTCAAATTATATCAATTTTGTAAGCCTGTTGTCTTGTAAGTATATAAAATTGGCCTATAAGAATAACATACAGTAGAGCAAGGGTGGGCAACCTTTTTTATAACATGGGCCAGAATAAATTTTACGTTTTTTCCGCGGGCCATAGTAGTTAATTGACACCTTGTGACCTGTAAATTTTTAGTCTGAAAATATGAAATAAATAAATAAAAAGAAATTAATTACTACAGTCGACCCCCTATAACACTGTTGATTATTCCGTTTTATATGAATTCCATGTTGTATGAGTCACTTAGATTTTACAAATGCGTGTGCCGGGCTGTGAACGGCTCACCTATTTGTAAAATCTAGATGACTTTAAACACAATAAAAACAGCACTATGTAGTTGGATACGACAAACATTATATTTTCTAATTGCATAGCTTTTGCACATAGATTTTCTTGATGGATGACGCGATGAGATATAAATAATTTAGAAAAATTCTGTTTTCCCATTTTTTGTTTGAATAAGGAAATGACTCCCTTATTTTTTCCTGTCATTGCTGTTACAACACTTCAGAAAATAATATTCAATTTAAACTAGACGAATTACATCGAAAAATATTTATTTATAATTTCTTCTAAACATCTCGCGGGCCGGATAGAAACTTTTCGCGGGTCGTAGATGGCCCGCGGGCCGGGGGTTACCCACCGTTGCAGTAGAGCATTGATTATCCGACTCCCGATTAACTGTCACCTCAGTTAACCGACCGCGTTTTAGTCGGCAAATTCAAATGTCCGCTAGTGATGTGGCGCTACAATATTTGGCTATGTCTTGGCTACTTTAATATTATTTTTACGTGTTTTAGCTGGCAACACTGGATCGACCATGAAAGGGAGCCAGTATTTAAACGAGGCTTAATTTTCTAATTTTTAACGGTGTAATAGCGACAATTATTATTATTAAAAAAAAATTTGATAGGCTTAACATGGAGGAAAATTCAACATGAAGTAGGTTAATAGCGATATACTAATATACTAATTACATGGGATATAATAATATACTACACTAATAATGGATTTTTTCATACTTTTCGGTTATCCGACTTTTCAATTATCCAACCAACCCGTCCCCAATTGGGTCGGATAATCGATGCTCTACTGTATTTGATATCAATCTATAAGGAATCTTTTACTTTATTCATTTATTTCTAGGACGATATCATATTTTTAAATTAAAAATTAGATATAAAATAAAATAAAATTCTAAATGTACTGTAAATAAAATTTTTATGTACGTAATTATTTAGTATATTTATTCAATAAAATGTCATTTTACATTCATCTTTCTTCTGAAGAAGATAAAATTGAATATGTATTGAAAACAAATGTTTTTCTACAAAAAAAACTTGTGTTACAAATTATGATATTGGTTTTCAGATGTTAAAATTGAGAAAAAAAATAGGCCAATTTGAGGAAGACTAATTGAAAGTATTAATTATAACAATTTTGAAAATGATTATAATGGAATATTTAATTAATTAGATTGATGAAGATTTATATCCAGAATTTTATCGAAAATCAGAATACATAAAAGGATCTAATCTGGATGCTCCAGAACCATTTCGCATTGGACGAATTGTAAACATTTATAAATTGTGCAAAGGAAAGTTAGCAGATAAATTTGACATTAAATTTAAAGTGAATAAATTTTACAGGTAATACATTTTTTATCTCATTAATGGTCTTAAAATAATTAATATTTAATATAGTGTTTAATGCTAAAAATGATCAAATTTAGATAATACTATAATAATATAAATTAATTATGAATATCAAAATTTATTTTTAAAATGGTATAACTTAATAAATGTATATATTTTCTTATTGACTGTAAAAGTTCCATATTGATTAGTTTAATATATATGTAAATGGCATAACTGAAATTGTAATCTATAACTCACTAGATTTTCATAAACTTTGTCCAGCATTCTTTTTGTTTAAAATATTATTATTTATCTGAATATCCCATGATTATATTAGTATTATAGTAAATTGAAACATCAAGCATTGAATTATTTTAGAAATTAGACTTGAAAAAATATGGAATTATATCATTAAATTATTATTTTTTTATTTGATAGCATAACTTCTTACTTTTAAAGTTATTCATTTTTTCATTAATGATTTCTTACGTCTAGACCAGAAAACACCCATAGACAGAGGAAAGCAAATTATCATTTAGATTTAAATCTCTTATATTACAGTGAAGAAGGTAATTTTTTTTTAATTTAAAGAATAAAATAAGTCAGTTTTATATTAATTTATTTTAAAAGAAAGCATTTATTATATTTTAATGTATTTGCACCATACTTACTAAATATTATTTCAACAGAACTTATCTCCATCATTCCTAATAGTCAAGCTATATTAGAAGTACTTGACTTTTATTGGTTTAATTTAAGTTTGTTCAGGAATATTTTATCTATTTGATTGGCTACTAAAATTATAGTTAAAATTTATTCTTATAATCTGTTTAGGGAGCAAATGTTTTAAAATAAAAAAGATTAAAGTGCTTTTTATAACTAAATGAATAATACATTNACACCTACAGACAGAGGAAAGCAAATTATCATTTAGATTTAAATTTCTTATATTACAGTGAAAAAGGTAATTATTTTTTAAATCTAAAAAATCATCGAAAAGCAAGAAAAATAATAATAGCTGTAATTATGAAATATAACTTCTACAATTGGCAGACTATAGACCACGTGCCATAAAACTCTGATTCTTATTGCTATTTGTTGATGCCTATTGTTTTTATAGTAATATACACGCAGATAGAGAATTATTACGTACCACTTTGGAAAGTGTTGGGCAAAACGAACGTTAATCATGTTTCTGTGGACTTTTCAAATTTTTCTAAACTTAGTTGTTATTTTCCTCGTGTTGATTTGTACAGTAGTAAAAAAATGGAGAAACANAACACCTACAAACAGAGAAAAGCAAATTATCATTTAAATTTAAATCTCTTATATTACAATGAAGAAGGTAATTATTTTTAAAATCTAAAAAATCATCAAAAACCGAGAAAAATAATAGTAGCTATAATTATGAAATTTAACTTCTACAATTGGCAGACTATAGATCACGTGCCATAAAACTCTGATCCTTATTGCTATTTGTTGATGCCTATTGTTTTTATAGTAATATACACGCAGATAGAGAATTATTTCGTACCACTTTGGAAAGTGCTGGGCAAAACGAACGTTAATCATGTTTCTGTGGACTTTTCAAATTTTTTTAAACTTAGTTGTTATTTTCCTCGTGTTGATTTGTACAGTAGTAAAAAAATGNAAATTTATTGAAAGCACTCTTACAAAATGAATTTTTACACTAACTATAATAGCATACTCAATTATTTTGTGTGGCTTTAACCAATTATTAAAATGTCTAATATTTTCTAGAATCAAAAAGAGCTAATTTATTCACTCAACTGAATCATTGAAATAAAATTTTTTTTATGAAGCATAACAAAATTTTTCTGCTTTGTGAATCAAAGAACTTTCAATAAGAAAAATATTGTTAATTTGTATACTTTATATAATTTTATATATTGCTTCAATCACTTTAGTTTTAAAGTATAAAAATTTCTTTAAAAGTCAAAAAAAAAAGAAAAAAGAAAAGCTTTTCCCAATAAATATATTTTGTGACTATTTTAAATTACCAATTTACTATATTTTGTTATATATTTTTTATTGTAGATGTTATATGAATAGTATTAATGCAGATTAAAAATTAACAAATGTTATTTTTAAACAGAGGTAGTTGTGGATTTTTCTCTTATCCAAGGTAAATGTTATGTTGTATATAGTGGAAATCTTCAAGAATCAGTTGAAGAATATACATCGAAAGGACCAAATAGATTTTACTTTAACGAGGTTGGTTTTCTTGTAATACAGCAAAAATTTAATATTCTTCAAAAACTGTTTTATTTAGTTATTGGTCTGTTGTAATATAAATATTAATTAACGATATATTAATATTAGTATTTAATATTTAATAGGCTTATGACAAAAATGCTAGAACTTTTGATGATCCACCTGCGAAAGCACAAGCAATTGGAAACAAAGGAAAAGTAAATACAAAATTTATTTGAATTTATTCACAGAATAATTGAATAAGTTTCTTTTTCTTTTCTTTTATAACAAAAATAAATAATTATAGTAAGACAAACTATGAAGATGTCTGTCTTATTATAATTATTGTTTTATATTTATTGTTACAATTATAATCATGTTTAAGTCAACAATTTTAGTAGATTTTTTGTGAACAAAAATCTTCTAAAATTGTTCACATAATTAAACGTGATACTGATCTTTTACATAAATGTTAATCAATAACTTGATAATATGAACTCGCATTAAAAATTTAAAAAGAAAATACAGTATATCATTCATTAAATAAGCAAACATAGTTTATTCAAATATCAAATTATTTTAATTATGAAATAAATTTTGCAAACTTATGACACCATTATACTTTCATATAATTTTCATTGATTAAATTTTTTGCATCTTAAAACTATTAAATCTAAATCTATAGCATTAAATCAGTTATATATTATGAAGTATTAAGTTTAATCTTAATGTAAATATGAGGAATTTTTATTAATACAATAAGTGCTTGTTTTCTGTGTAATATCTGATTAATCTATTTTAGAGTATTTATTTATAGTATTTTATGAACTATTAGATTACTTCATGTAATGTAAAATTTAATTTTAGTGAATTTGAAATAAAAATATTTATTTTTCCTTTATTTTTAAGTAAGTAGTTGTTTTATGTATTAAAAGATTTGTGAATAATATTTTATCCTATCTTACTATTTAAATATTTTTGTTATTTTAGGGGAAAGGTAAAGGTAAAGGGAAATCTCAAAACAAAACAGACAACTCAGCTGATATCAAAATGGAATATTTTTCTACTGTTTCTTCAAAACTAAGAACATTAGATGTATTTGCTGGTTGTGGAGGTCAGGTTTTAAATCTTTTTAAAAATATACAATATAAATCTTTACCAATTTAATTTTTTAAACTTCTGAATTTTCATACTGAATAAAAATTCTGATTGCTTATTGATATTTCAATCACCTGTTAAAAATATAAAAATAAAAAAAAATACAAACTATTTTGTAAATATAAAATTTTTCTGTTTGTTCATATTTATTTGCTTAAATATAGTAGAGTCTTGATTATCTAAGGTAATGTGGACCAATGATACCTCAGATAATCAAAATCGTGGAAAATATAAGATGAAAAAGTGTTTGGTAAATTATTAAATAAACTGGACTTGAATGCATTAATGTGTATGATATTCTCTATTTTTTGATCAGATGTATTTACTGAACATAATGACTTTTAAATTATGCAATAAAAACACTTTTTATTTACAGTTGTATTTATAAAAGCAATTGTAAACATATGACTATAATTAAAATTTTTCTAATTTTTTAAAAATTTATATTGTCTGAAAGGTCATCAGAGTAAACTGGTTTTAAAAACTTCAACAGTACATTTTGAATACTGCATAGCTTAGTCAAGATTCATAAAGTGAACTGTTCTGCACCATGTTTTCTTGTCTTTGTTGATAAAAGACTATAATCCCATAATTTACCATGGATACTGCCAAACCTCAAATAAGGGAGCTATGGTTAATCAGGACTCTTCTATATTAATTTTATTAAAATTAGTATGTGATTAAACAACAGTAATAATTTAACAAACACAGTATATGGTTTTTAATGTCAAAGTTTAAATATTATAAAGAATTTGAGTAGAACTTTATTATAAGTTATGTTTTTATAAATTCCAAATTCTTTTAAAAACTTTAAAACTATAAGAAACTGGTAAGATTAAAATCATTGTTGAGTTGAAATTATGAGATACATAATGAAATAATTTCATTACATATTTTTAAAACTTGTTCTTAGATTCAAAAATTTCTTACTTGTTATTTTTAAATTTTTATATTTGAATCTGAAGATGGAGTAGAAAAACTCAAAAAAGTTTAATACAGAAATATGTAGGCTGTTTTTTTTTTTCAACCTCCGATGGTTCATAAAAAAAAAAAGACAAGTGTAAATAACAGAGTGAATTTATTACCAAAAGTTATGTACAAGCATGGTTACTTTTTGAAATAATCACCATGAAGATTGAGGCATTTGTCATATCTGTGGATGAGGTTTGCAATCGCCTTGTTATAGAATGTTGCTGCCAATGACTTGAGATGGGCACTACTATTGTTTTGAAGATCGTCATTAGTCTTGAACCTCTGCCCTCCTAGCCACCTCTTCTGTTCAGGAAAGAGGTGGAAGTCACTCGATGCTAAATTGGTGCTTAAAGGTTTGGAAGTGTTTAAAGGTGGTGAAGATTTCCACCTTTCAGACTTCCACCCAGCTTGGAACTTTTTAATGTGTGAAGACTTTCACCTATTTTCTGAACTGGAAATGTGGCTAGCAGGGCAGAGGTTTGAGACTAATGATGATCTTCAAAACAATGTTGTTAAGGCCATCTCAATTCACTGGCGGCAACATTCTATGACGAGGGGATGGAAAAACTTGTCCACATATATGACAAATTCCTCAATCTTCACAGTGATTATGTCAAAAAGTCACCGTGTTTGTACCTAACTTTTGATAATAAATTCATTTTGTTATTTACACTTGTCTTTGTTTTATGGACCCATTAGAGCTTGGAAAAAACTGCCCTTGTAATATTTAGACTTATATATATATATATATATATATATATGTTATTTGAAAAACAATACCAAATAACAATTTCTCTTCTGGCTTCTTTAAACAGAGCCAATACATACACCTGTTTCTTTTTTATAACAGACATTTGTACAGAAATATAGAACTAATAATATAATATCCTACATTATTTTTTCATTTTTTTATTTACTTTTACTATATAACTATTATATTAAAGATGATATAATAAAAATAAAACATTTCATTATTATTTACTACAATAAACTGTAAATAAATATTTTTAACAAGTTGTTATGTCTTTCAGAATTAATGTTTTTATGTACATTTTAATTTTAGGTTTATCTGAAGGCTTCCATAAAGCTGAAATAAGTGACACATTATGGGCTATAGAAAAAGAAGAAGCTGCAGCACAAGCATTTCGATTAAATTTTCCTAACTGTACTGTTTTTACAGAAGATTGTAATGTATTACTTCGTTTAGTGATGGATGTAAATATGAATGTTTAATTTTATTTTAATTCATTACATTTTAAAAGAAAATTATATATAATATTTAAAAATTTATCATGAAATAGGGTAACAAAGCAAATGATAAAGGACAAATTTTACCTCAAAAGGGGGATGTTGAATTACTGTGTGGAGGACCTCCATGTCAAGGTTTTAGTGGAATGAATAGATTCAATTCTAGACAATATTCATTGTTTAAGGTAAATAATGTTTATTTTTGTAATTATTGATTGAATGTTGAGTTTTGAATAAATTTTTATTTATTTTAATTTAGAATTCTTTAATTGTTTCCTACTTGAGTTATTGTGATTATTATCGACCAAGGTTCTTTCTTCTTGAAAATGTTAGAAATTTTGTTTCATTTAAACGTAGTATGGTATTAAAATTAACATTGAGATGTTTGATAAGAATGGGATATCAGTGCACATTTGGAGTATTGCAAGCAGGTAATTACGGAGTGCCACAGACCCGTCGAAGGTATGTAAAAACATTAAATATCCTTTTATTAAATATAATTACTAAATACATGGGTTTTATTTGTATATAGAAAACAATTGTTTATTTTTTAACTTTGAACTTAAACTAATGGATGAATAATTTAAAGAAAAAAGAAAGAAAAACAAAAGACTAGATAAACAAAACTATTATACTAGTCATTTTTTCTTTAAAACAGATAGAAGAGCAAATATTAAAAGTACAGATGACTTTTTCCCCCACAGTTTTCTAAATTTTAAATAAAACAATGTTTTTTAAAAGTAAAATTAAGATTTATGTATGTTTAAACTTCACAAACTCAAAATAAATGTTAAATTAGAGTAAAAGTGTCTTCACAATTTTTTCCCCTTCAGAATTGGATAATATAGTGTGAAGAAGGCTACAATGAATTTGACCTTTAATTTGAGACTCATCCACCTCAGTATGCAAAAAGAAATGTTAAAAATTCCTCTGAAGACAGCATAATTATAAAAATTATATTAATTGAAACGATAGGAATAATGAAGATGGACTGATTACTACACCTTTAACTGTGGAATTTTAGAAGGCATTAACATTTTTAATCTTGTTAATTGGTCCTTCTGAGGTATTAAAAGTTGAAAATGGAGTGCTAGTGTTTGAAGAAAGGATGAAGAAATAGATTCAGATAAAGTAAGCAAGTGGAGGAGTGAGTTATGTTAATGCAGTTGATGTGACAGAGTGAGAAGATATTGCTAGGCAGAAGGGAATCGTCCTTACTATTTTATGCATGTGTTAAAAATGGACTAGTTATATAATTTGCATATTTCTATGATTCTGGCCAGAGAGGAGTGAAGAAAGAATACTTTATATGATTTTGGTTTCCTGCCAGTCTACCTCTGTGCCAGAAATTTGTGCCTATGAAAACAAAACTATAATTAACTTCTTTTTAATGTCATCTTTGTATTTAGTGAGCATTTGATTGAGGGGATATAGAGGTGTAACTAACATTTGCCATACTGATGCCAGTCCCCTTTATGGCCAGGATGTATGCATTCATAACAGCAGGGCAAGGAACCCCTCTGACAGTATCTTTTCACTCTATCATATCAACTGCCATTGTTGTAATTGTTACTATTTTTCCACTTGCTTACTTTGTCTAACTTTATCCCTTCATCTTTCTTACTGACATCAGCATTCCACTTTTGATTTTCAACACCTGAAGATGACTCATTAACCAGGCCAAAAACATTAGAGTTCTAAAATTCTACTGTTAAAAGTGCAGTAATTAGTTCTCTAGGACTAATTTGGTGTTTTAATTATAATTTTTATTCTGAAGTTTTAATTAATTAATTGTATAGACTTTTCTACAAACAAAAGTACAGTAATCCCTCATTATATTGCTTCCCTCCAAATTTTAAAAGCACTTTAGTCAATAAATTTTAAATTACGAATTTAAAATTTATTGACTCAAGTGCTTTTAAAATTTGGGGGAAAGTGATATAATAAGAATTTCTTTTTTGCAACAAAATTTATTCCTACCATTGTCCTTGAAACTATCACTGCAGGTGAAATAATAATTTCCTCAAGATCTAAACAAGCAAAACTAGTGGACAGATCAGTTATCATTTATGTTACCTTTTGATATTAATTTAAAAGTTGTTTATTTATTGCTTTTAAGTACTGTCTCCTCATTTGCAAATTTCTGTGAATTTGAAATTTTACACCTTTATATGAATTGAGAGTATTGGATCAATTCAGGTAAAGGTGTGAAATTTAAAATTCATGGTAGGATGTAAGGAAAAGTTTTCTTTATTTTTGAAGGAAATGTGCTAAAATTTTCATACAGTAATAACATTATTTTGCTTTTTAGAGAATTTTTACTCTGCAATTTTATAAGTTTTGATGTTCTATTATATGTTCAATATAAATTACACAAATTTTTAATAAGTGATTTATCATGAAATGTATATAGTACTATATAATAAAATTACAACTGATATTTAGTTTTTATATTGACAGTATTTGTCTTTAAATGTCATCATTAAAGAAACAATAATGTTAAATGAGTATTCGTGGTATCAATGTTTACGTAAACATCATTTAATATGATATAGCCGTGAATAAAATTCAGTATTGCAAAACTAAGCTTATTTTATATCAGAAACTCTTTCTGATGAAAAAATACAGGCTAGAGATTCCATCATCACAAAATTCTTTTATTCTTGTTGAAATAACTTTGATGTTTAATGAAAGTTTTTATTTTCAATAGTGATGAAAATAAAGCAAAAGAAATTGAAAAAATATTCTTGTATTGACTTCCATGGAATCATTTGTATCATTCATGTGTGACAATAACTTAAAATTTCATTTTAACTGCACTCATGCAAAATACTACCATAGAAAAATCACATAAATTGAAGCATAACAGAACTTTTTATATTTTAATGTTTAAGAAAAGGAAAGAAAAATAATAAATTTTAATAATTTTTTCATTTTTAATTATGTAATTTTTGTAAAACATTTTTCTATAATAATTGATAAAAATATTTTCAATATTTACAGGGCTATAATTTTGGCTGCTGCTCCTGGAGAAAAGTTGCCATTATTTCCTGAACCTACTCATGTTTTTGCTCCAAGAGCATGTCAATTATCTGTTGTTGTTGATGATAAAAAGGTTAATTATTTTACACAAACCTATAATTTATAATAACACTTAAAGTGTAAATGCTTTATATCTAGATTTATTGATTTATGAATAAACTTGAAAATTATTATTTTTTTTTAAACTTTTTCTTAAAGTTATAGTAATAAAAACTTGGAATTTTCAGTTTATAACAAATGTTAAGTGGACATCATCTGCACCTTATAGAACCATCACAGTAAGAGATTCTATGTCTGATTTACCTGAAATCCGAAATGGAGCTAAAACTGAAGAAATTCCATATAATGGAGAATCAATTTCACACTTCCAAAGAATGGTATATAATTATTTTAAGTAATTTCATTTAAATTTAATATCCTTTTATATTAAATCTTTATATTAATCTTTAAATCTTTTAGTTAAGAGGAAAATATTATCAACCTGTTCTCAGAGATCACATTTGTAAAGAGATGAGTCCTTTAGTAGAAGCTCGTATGAGATATATACCATTATCTCCAGGTTCTGATTGGCGAGATCTGCCAAATATACCAGTTAGATTATCTGATGGCAGTTTTACAAAAAAATTGTTAGTATTGGCTATATTTTAAGTTTTATAATCAAATAAACACCATATTTATCTGTTATAATTATTAATATTAAATTTTATTTCAGACAATATACTCATAAAGATATAAAAAATGGTAATTCAAGTTCAGGAGCTCTAAGAGGTGTCTGTTCTTGTGCTGAAGGAAAACCTTGTGATCCATTTGATCGACAAGACAATACATTAATTCCCTGGTGTCTTCCCCATACTGGAAATCGTCATAACCATTGGGCTGGTTTGTATGGTCGGCTAGAATGGGAAGGTTTCTTTAGTACTACTGTAACAAATCCTGAGCCAATGGGAAAACAAGTAAGTAATATTTTATTGTTATACAAATAAAAGATGATCATGAGTGATTACAAATTTTATTGGCTAGAAAGTATCAGACATAGAGCAACTATAAAAATAGAAAATTTACACTCATTTTTCATGTATCCAAATTATTCATCACAAAAATATTTAATCCTTTCCTCCTTTCCATAACTGCACTAGCATTAACAACAAACATATAACCATTAATTTAACTATGAAGTAAATATTTATTAATCAAATTTTTTTGGTCTTTATAGACTTCTTCAGGAGGTATATGCTTTTATACTTTAAAAGAGCAAAGCTGCCTGTTGTTCTAAAATGGTTTATATCATAATGTACTGTACATATTATATTTTTTTATATATTTTGTTTTTTTTTCCACTTATTGCATGATATTCCATTCCATATGTAAACCCTAGCACACATGTTCTAAAAATTTTGTCTTATTCCAAAAATGGAATGTTGTAAAGCCATTTTATTTTTGGAATAAGATCGAAAATGTTTAATTAATAAATATTTACTGCATAGTTGATTGTATTGTATAATCAAATGAAAATTACATTTACTGTATCTTAGTGAGGAATGATGTCCTGTTTCTTAAGGTCACTATGCAGCTTGCTTGGCTTTCTTGCAAATAATCCTCTTAATTATTTATTAAGAAAAGCCTTTAATTATATTGCCAGTCAATTGCTTATTTAGCTACACTAGGAGGAGTTTTTCCATCTCTTCAATAACATGCTATCACCTTGAGGTCAATATTGTCACACCTTTAGCCACATTTGCTGCTTTTATTGCTTCTTTGTTCTTAAGAATGGTGCACACCATCAACTTTGACATTTTAAACATGGCTACTAGATCTACCACACGTACTGTTTTCATGCATCATGATGTGTTCCTTTTTACCTCAGTTATTGATACTACAGCCCTCCTCTTAGGCTTCATTACTTCCACACACTTCTCAGATGCCATGGTGACTAGGTATTATATATACAGTCAACCCCCCATAACACGGTAGATACGTTTTGTTCTTTATGAATCCATTTTGTACAAGTCTTTGCCAATCACAGCCCGGCATGTATGCACTTTACAGACTATGGCTGTTTGAAAGGTTTTCTTCCATAAAATTAATTGATTCCTAGACTAATTTGACTCAACATTTCCAAAATACGTATATTTTTTTGGGAATAATCCCAAAAAATGCTATAAACAAAAAATTGTAGGATTACTTACCGAGTGTGCACCGTTCGACTACGCCGTTGCTCAAAGCTTGTTTTCATTGCGGAACAGCACACGAAACGGCGGCCACGATTTCTGATAACGAATTTTTCGCAGAAAAATAACTTGACCTTTGGAGACATCATTAATATAAATAATTTTTATGGCTGTTGAATAAGAAATGTTTCTTTCACAAGAAATGTATAAAATTAGTGCTGTATTAGACTTACGGTACCTAATTTACATACTGT